AAAAAAAAAAAACAGGGACTAACTTTGAATGTAAAAATGGATTCATTAACCATTGGTAAGTACGGGAAAATTGTTGTTTACTCCAGGAAAATTAATTTTTTGGCCAAAACGAAGAGTTATTATCCCTTTAACCTTTGGAAATTACATGTACAATAACAACGTTTAACAGTTTTTAACACTAGCAAAGGTGCCATAGCTTGTTAACTCATTAAAAAATTTAATGTCCATTACTTAAGTAAACCTTAATTTTAAAAACTTTTTGCAAAATGGCTATATTTCTATACTCAAGGTCGCAATGGGATTTTGCTCTGAAATGACCGCAGCTTGATAATCAAACTAGTAAGAATATATAATAGGCACTGGCATTTTTTCTTACTGATTAGGCTAACTAAATAGCAATGGGTCACCTTGAAAATCCATTGTGTTCAGTCTTTGTAAACCAACAAAATCAACAATAAAGAAAACAAGTCACAATAATAAAAGTTGTGTTGTTGTTCACTCTCAATTGCTCGTTCACAACACCTGTGCTACATTTGAGGCACACCTGACAAATACAAAGATTAAGTAAACAAATAAACAAATAATGTAAATAGAAAGGTGATCTAAAATGGATGAAATGTAAAGGTTTGTTTCAGCATGTTCCACTTGGACATTGTTTTCTAGTGCAACCTGTGCAGGGCAAGTGACGCAATGATTTGTGAGAGAAGATAAAAAGTTGTCTTTTTCAATTCTACCCTGAAAAATTTAAACCAGAAGCCTGGCTCATAAAAGAAAGTAAGGTCGAGAATGGTTCAAACTTTTCTGAAAATATTACTTCAGCCTTCTTTGACCAAAGATAAAACAACAGTTGTCAACAAAAAGAAACACAGAACCTTTTTTATCAAAAGGATGACTTGTTCATATATAAGATAGCTAGACCCCGTTCCCATACCTAGATCGATTTAACAGGATCGACCCATCTCCTAGGGGCTTCTTGCTAAACTGCATTAGCTTATAGTAATAAGCTCTGATGTCTGGTATGCCTACTGAAGCTGATAGGGGGATAATTAAATTGCGTTTCTAAAGCAGCTTCAGTAGGCATACCAGACATCTGCTTAAGCTGAATGCACTTTAACAAGAAACCCCTCAGAGATGAGTTGATCCTGCTAGAACAATCTAGGTATGGGAATGGAGTCCTAATATTTCAGACCAAAAAAAGATATTTCAATATAGCAGTCTACCATCACTGTACCTTACAGAGACTAAATATTTGGTCTAAAAGTGTAGACAAATTTTAGGCCACATTTCCCCTATATAAAACCAGACCCAGATCGTAAAGATATCTCCTGGTGTCATTTTCACCCGCATATTGATGTTCTGTCACATATGTTCAGTCAAAAGGGATTGGCTTCTCTTTTCAAATGCAAATCACTTAACAGGAATTGCATGTCACTTTCTATTACACAGGCATCTCTTATTGTCCCTATATGAGGTGAGGCATGTATTTCTTTTAAACATGTCTATGTTCAGATTCCATGAAAACCCACACAATGACTCACTGCTGTAGGGTGCACTGTGAAATGAACAAGCCTCCGTGGCATTGTAAGATGGAAGGATGCGCAGAAATTTTAAACATCACAGTGACAGTGGTTTAAATCTGTATACCAAAAAAAAAAAAAAAGGCAATTTACAGAATTAAATTTAAATTCAGAAGACTGAATTTTGTTGAAATTGTTGAATTGCTCCCTTGAGTACCTTACTGAGGATGTCTATCCCCAAAATTTCGTGAAAAACATCACTAATTGTACACATTTCCAAGACAAATGTTTGTTTTAATTTATTATTTTATGGTTCTAATGACTCCAAACTTGCAACGCTCTGCTGTTATCATAGTTGTGCCTCTATTTCTCCATTTCCATAACAATTTCAGATTAAATTTAAAAAAACTACCACTGAGTGCAGACCACCAAATTTTAATAAATTAAATAATTAATAGCCACCAAAATTTCATCAGTTCTAAGTTAGCCCCTTTTTGACATTGACATTATGACACATCCTGAAATTTTTATTCAAATCCGTGGGTAGCTTCTGAATTAGGCCATTAACTAGCAAAAGCAAAAACAAAACTTCCTTGATGGAGTCAATGATCAAATTCAACTTACCACATTCTGCTATCACAGAAGCCACCCCTCCGTAACAGAATGGCCGCCAGTCCCTCATAACACTCTGCCCTTGTTTTTACTTGTATTGTCTTTAAATTATTCAAACCTGAAATAAATCATCAAAACTGATAAATACTGGTGAAGGATCAAACTCTCATTTTATTCAGCATGGGTTCAAATGCTAGGCAGGTCAGGTGTACAGGAGCTGCCATGGGGCCTATCACAAATGAATTAAAATTCTTGAAATTCCATGAAGAAAATCACTTTTGCTTTCTTTTTTAACCAATGAGGCATGACCCACCTTGACGCGAAAGATCATGAAAAACCTCCTTTTACCTAAAATTGACACTTTTTAAAAATCTTTCATTTAAAAAGGATAAAAATCATCATCACATTTGGCAAATCTTCAGTCATATTAGTTCTACTTGGATTTTCAACTGCTCACATATTTGATGAATTTGACCAGTTTTAAGTTGGTGGCACTATGATTGTGGCAGGGTTCACATGTTCAATTATGCTCATCATCATCATAATCATCATTAATAATAATAATAATAATAATAATAATAATAATAATAATAATAATAATAATAAATGAACACTGCATTTTTAATATAAAACAACCTCCATAATTAATACATTTTAAATTATACTCAAATAATTTTCTTTATTAATAGTTGATTTAAGAATTTTATTTATTGATTGGTTTATGTCAATTTATTGTTAATAATCCGATTACTAATATTATATTAAAATTCACTAGATCTCACCAATAAATAAAATTCTAAAAGAGAAAATTATTTGAATAAAAATCGGATTAGCAAAGGGATTTAATACATAAAATAATCAATCTCAAGCTTACAGGGCTAAATATTCAATGAGTTGACCAAATATAATACTGTATTTTCATAATTGTTTTATTTTTCTAGTTATGAAACTTCTCACGGCACATGTGATTTACTCGTGTACAGCAAAGATATCATATATGCACATGTCAAACCTAAAATTGGGTCATATAATAGCAACGCGGCAATCCAAATTTGTCAATGAAAATAGGCGAATATTAATCTTAAAATGGTATAATATCTTACCTTATTACTCTTCGCTAACCACATTGGGAAATAATTACTTAAATCGATTTGTGTGACCTCGAAAATGCGCACGAATTCCCCGAGAGCCGCCAGGCGTCCGTACTTCAGTTTGCCTCACCGAGTTCGCCTGCTCTTAAACCGGAAGTTTCGATTGCTTGGTATTTATCAAAATGAAGAACAAAACGTTTACTGGAATAATAAAAAAATAGAATATATTGATTCCTCAGATTGATGCATAGAAAATTACAATGCAACGATAAGTCCTTGAATAATTTATGAAATATAATTTTGAGTGCTTGTTTGAATAAACCTCTACTTGACAACGAAACGATTCTCAGTTTTGTGTAACCTCCATACTTTCCTTTTTCCGGTTCGGCTAGAACAGAGTCGAACACGTAAATATTTGTGAGAAAGAATCCACTCACATCTGATCCAAAATGAAGCTTTTTAGGGACGTCATCTCAGGTAAAGAAACAGAAATATTTTTCCTCGATACTGAAGCAAAACAAAGCTGATAATGATTCTTGATTGATAAGATATTGTGTTTTAATTCAGGTGATGAACTCTTAACCGATGCCCTACCCATGAAAGACCTAGGATGTGTCTACCAGGTTGAAGCCAAGGTAATTCAAATTCTGTTTCTAAAATTTACTAGATATTAGTATTATAGTACCAAGGGAATATGATCTTTCTTTCGTTATCTCGTGAATACGATCTTTTTTTTGTATCTCGTATGATATTTTGTCAGTCGGTCTTGTACTTTAATTTTTTCATGGCAATATGTTTCCATGGGTGCCTCCCACGCCCGGCAGTGATTCAGTCTAGTGAGGAGTGTTTTATGCAGCTTCACTTCATTTAGAATCAGTATAAGATGGTTTCTATTGCCACGTAATCTTAAACAGCTGTAAGTTTTTCGAATATAGATACGTTTCAAAAATTAAGTTAGAATGTTGATGGTAACCATAAACTGTTTATGTAGAAAATTTGTCTTTTTTCCCCCCATTGAAGTATGAAGAATTGACCTATCATAAAAGACCATTGGTCACATCACTGCCCAGGTCTATAGTTGGGGGGGGGGGTGTGTGTGTGTGTGTGTGTGCAGGGGTTTCAAAGGACCCCCCCCCCCTTTTGCCAGAAAAAGGTTCCCTCTGTGTAAAACTCTATCTAGGTACTGGAAGGGCTTTATGCAGGGCTCTTCAATAACTTTTTCAGCCACTTGCCCTTTGGGCAATTGACCGGCAAAATCTACTTGCCCGAATTGGAAACTCACTTGCCCAAAATTTTACCATACAAAAAATGAACAGTGTTTGTATCTTTCTTTTCAATTTCAATTTTATTTTGGTGCTTGGCGTTTCTATTCTGTGAAATATCTGAAATAGTATAGTGATATCAAAGTTAACTGCTTACAGTGTTATAAATGAATGTAACTTAGGACGTGGCTGTCAGCTATATTCAGTCAAATGGAGTATTTTGTTCCTAAGTAAAGTTCCCATTTGCTGTCATTTATAAAGTGGCAAACATGGGATTTTTATTTACATATATTGTAGGCATCTTATTTTATCTATTATTTTATTTATCAACTGTTCTGTCTGAGAAATGAATTTAAAAAAATTCTAAATTCATAATTGTACTGTGCTGAATAATGACACTGCATAGAAAAAGTCTACAATTTCCATTTTTATTGTAAAAAAAAAAGGCATAGCTCTGAAATGAATTTTTATTTTTCGAAATATTTGCATTCATTTTTTAACCTGAAAATAATTAAGCAGTGGTCTAAGGTGAGAGAAACCCGTCTTACATATATCTATATTTACATAAAATCTAGCAAGCAACTATATAACATTACTAAAATTAGTTGTCATATCTATTAATGAATTTACACATTAAGTATTTGTGATTATTACACTGCTGCGGGGCTTGACACTTATTTTTCAGGTGACCTGTCCAGCTTACTGCAGACAAATTTCACTTATCCCCAGCTAATGTCCACTGTAGATCTTTATTAGACAAAAACTTAAAAGTATCTGCTATTTGTACGCGCTATTAATGGCGCAGGTTAAATTTTATGCGATTGTACGAACCGAAAGTGAAGATTTGATTAACTATTTGAGAAGATTTCACGATTTTATGCGATTAAATATCTGTTCTTTTACTTTATTTTGACACTTGCCCGATCGGGCAAGCATTCAGGTGAGTGAACTTGTCCGACATCGATGTCTACTTGCCCTGCGCAATCAGGCAATCCTTATTGTTGAGTCCTGTTAACAGTGTTATGGTAATTTTTTTTAAACAAAGAACCCCACTTTTGAAATTGCTGGCTGCAGGCCTGCTGCCTGTTAGGAAAAAGATGTACTTGTTTCTCATAATTACAAGAAACAGCAAAAATTATTTTCTCTGAATTACTATTCTCTCTTTTTTTTTTTTTTTGCTCTAGCTTGTTCCAGAGGACTCGAGTGTTTCGGATGCCCTCATTGGTGGGAATAAAAGCGCAGAGGGCGGGGCAGAGGACCTTGATGACTCCGTGCAATGGAAGCTGAATGTGGTCAGTGCCAATAATCTTGTAGAGACGGGGTTCTCTAAAAAAGATTATCAGACTCATATCAAGACGTACATGAAAAAGTAAGTGCTAACCTAAAAGGAGTTTTAACAATTTGTTAAAAGTGCATTTGAATTCAAGTTTTTGACAAAATAGCTTACCAAATGCCACAATGTTATTGTAGTTTCAATTAGCATAACTTAAAGAAATCCCTAAAAACCTCTTTTCATCATCAATGGGGAAGATTGATAGGTCCAATAAGCAGGTCAAATTTACNAAAAATGCATTTGAATTCAAGTTTTTGACAAAATAGCTTACCAAATGCCACAATGTTATTGTAGTTTCAATTAGCATAACTTAAAGAAATCCCTAAAAACCTCTTTTCATCATCAATGGGGAAGATTGATAGGTCCAATAAGCAGGTCAAATTTACGAGGAAGGTGCAGTTTAAATCTCTTATAGCTGATTGAATGATTAATCCCATTATATCCCTTGGCGTGGTGTGACTATTTGAGTCAAAAGAAACTAGTAAAAGTGGTTTATGTTTTATTGAAAATCCATGCTCTACTGGTGCTCATTTCAACATTAATTAATGACACACATACAGCAGTGATGTCAGACAGCAAATTTTCTTTTTCCACAAATTGGCCGAAAGCTTGCATTGAAATATTTGAATGTCTTGTAAAATTATTGAAACAGGCTATACTAGTAGAGACTCCTGGGATGGCAGAAGGTATATATATATATATATATGTGGGCCATGGTGACCCAATAATAAATAATTTATATAATGAAGCCAAGCTGTCATTTTTCAAAAAAACAAAAAAACAAAACATGGTAAGCCTTCTGATGATGCGTCAGTCCAAAGGATGGCTGGACGGTTCGCTGAAAATCCTTCTCTGGGTTGAAAATTGACTTACATGTTCCCAAGTAACAGGTACAACTTGCATCAGAAAGTGGCATGTCATATGCATGAGTGCAAAGCACATGTGGAAGACGCATACACCTCACTGACACTTCAGCTATGGCAGAAGTCGAGAACTAGATAGACCCAGATGTGATGCAAGTTATATTGGTGCATGATGGGGGTTGAGGGGGGGGGATACACCACACCTGGTGTTCGGCTTTTTTGTTTTGTGCCCTTATTAATAAGTGAAGCAGTTTCTTCTAAGATTGTATTTAATTTGAAATGATTTTTTTTTGTTCTCAGGATTGAAGAGCACTTAAAGACAACAAATCCAGATAGAGTGGCACCATTCAAACAGGAGGCCAGTGCACAGGTTGCCGGTTTTTTGAAAAGATTCAAAGATCTAGAGTTTTACACAGGTACATTTATGTTGCCTGTCTTAGCCTCACTTTGGCGTTCGAGCCTACTTGATGTTATGTTTTGAAAGCGAGGCTTGCCTTGAATTTGGCAATTTGAAGCATACCATTTTGCAGGTTTGGAAGGAAGGGTTTTGACTACCTATTGTGACGGTAGCTGGTAGAGTAAGCTATCTGACAGGTTGAGTACAAAGCATTCTCTAATAGCTGACATTTCCTCCTCGTGTTTTGTCAGCCGCTAAGGATGCAACAGCAAACATTCTTCTTCGCGCTTATGGCCCTTCTCAAAAAGGAAGGTAGCCATTTGAAAAGAGGCAAACAAGTGGGCATGAACAGACACGATTACGTCCATACCTACGATTTTACTGGAATGAACTTAATCTTGATGGTGTAGTGCAATGTCTTGAGGTGGTATCATTGCTCTGATCCTGCAGTCTAAATATGTGTTACCTGTTGTGCATGATTAAAATTTAGTGTTGATTTTGCTGTTAAGCATTATATTATAATATGGCATCAAAATTGACCAAAATCCTGTTTTGTGCACTGCCACCATAAGCAATATAAAGGGAAGCTTACGTAATTTGCTGAAACTGTCAGGTGGGATTTTAGGGCTGTAATGCATCTTGAGCTGGCAAGCCAGCCTGATTAGTTTCTTATTTTTGGGGTTACATGATTTTTTTTTATATAAAATGTTCTTTTTTAATTTACTGAGACATTGAGCGTGTAAATTTGAATTCTCATGGGCCTGAAATCCTATGACAGTTACATATTCTTAATGTCTGTGTTCCTTGTTGTTTGGTGTGGATTTTGTTGTTTAGCATTATGTACTATTAAAATTGACAAAATATTTTGTACATCAGTATTTTCCGCTTTTCATAGGTACATTGGGCAGAGTTGCTGCCTTGTTTGTATTCACTTGTGTATTTTCCTAATTTTGTGCTCTCTTAGAATATCATCATGCTCATATGAATTGATTTGAATTATTCATAAATCGATGTTTTTCTTTTTCTTTCTCAGGCAATAGTATGGATCCAGATGGAATGGTAGTTTTAAAGGAATACATTGACAAAGATGGTGAAGAGGTACCCGTATTTTACTTCTTTAAAGATGGTTTGTCTGAGGAGAAGCTTTGAAATGGTACGTACAAGGTTTAAAAAAATAGATCGATTACTACATTAGTTCCAACAAAATTAATAATTTTTTATATGTGAAATGCATCATGAGTGATACTAACATCACAGATACTTATTCAGATGTTTAGGAAAGTTGGTTTTGTATAAAACGGGTTTGTTGTCTTTAATCAACAATGAAAAATCCAAAAAAAAACCCAAAAAATTTGAAGTAACTCCTGTAGCCTGGTCCCCGTTTCAAAGAAAAAAAAAAAAAAACAAGTCGGTCCCCTGGCTTAGTTGACTAGGATTTCCATGAGAGTGCTGTTACACTGCTCCTGATAGGGTAAGATATGCCCATGTGACCACATAACTTTGGTAATTAAGTTCTTAGCCAGAGGGAACCAGACTGGAGGTTTTTTTGTTTTTTTTTGTGAAACCGGGGCCTGGTTGTGAGGGTGATGGGTCAGGGAGAAGAAAATTTGGTGCAATAAAACGTGCAGTCGTGGGTTTTAAAAGTGTGGAGCATTTGAATATTTTTTTAGCATCAAGCTTTCATTAGTATTAAACTTTCAAACTAGATTCTGTCCATCTTGGATTTACTCCGCATGTAAAGATTAAGATTTTGAATCTGGAAAACTTTAGAAAATATCTTTCCCTCAGGGATTTTTCAAAATGGTATTCCAATTCAGAAAACAAACATAATGGAAGTATTTCTAAAATTTTGTGTGGTTTTAGACTATTTGTGGCTTTGCATTTGTAACTGTAGTAACAGCTTCATTGTGTGGAGTGCCACTTGTAAACTTTTAGGAGTGGAATATTTTGATGGAGAGATCCATACATTAAAAAGCTATTATAAAACTGCTTGCAAGTAGTCTATTCATTGAACTTATATCAATTTGTTTTTTACTTTTTCAGGAAGAAACTGTCCCAGGAAAGATAAAATAACAACTTTGAGTAAACAGAATTAAAAGGACATGGCTGCTTGGCAGTTATTCCTGTTTGGCCACTTTTCAAATTCTATTGAGGAAATGGACTTATTTTTGTCTAAAAGCACTTTCGATACTAGGCATTACATATATAATATTTATGTGTGTGTATGAATGTAAAAAGAACAACAACAACAAAAAAAGTGAATTCTAAGAATGCATTGCTGCATCCATTGTAAAATTTGCCATTTCCCTTTTCTGTGCTATTATACATATTATGCCATGTGTAAACCTGTTATCTGAACAAGATGAAACTGAATTTTTATATGCACTTACAAAGGGTGAGATCGTAATCTTTGTTTATTTCTTTTTTTCTTTGACAAGCTCTTGGAATGGTGAATAGACCATGTTTGAAGGACCCCATTCATAAATTATTGAATGTCTTTTACTTGTACAGAATGACGAAAAAAAAAAAA